CCAGTATTATTGAAACAGTAATGGCAAACCAGTACTCGGTCAGTATTAAATCAATACCGAATGCCAGTATCCAGAAAAATTATCAAAATTGACCTTCATGAAGTTGGCGTTGACGCTCAACGCCGAAAATTATTTTTCACAGGACCAAAAATGTCAAATTTTTTTTTTTTTTAAAGATTTTCGGTCCAAATATGTAATGCTTTAAGAAATACTTTTTAAGGTATTATGTGAACCCAAAACTTTTTTAAAAATGATTTGTTATTTTTGGTCCCGTGAAAAATAATTTTCGAAGTTGAGCGTCGACACCAACTTCATAGACGTGAAAATTGGGTATTTTTGTTGGTTAGAAATTAAATTTACATATATACATTTTTTTAAAATTATTTTAATACTTCTTTTCGATTACTGCAATGCGTTTGTTAACGGAATTATGAAATTTAAATTTAATATTAAAACTTTTTAATAAATAAAATACATATAATTAATGAAGTTTTCAAATTATTTTTCTTACACTGAAAAAATATATTTGAATCAAATAAACTCTATTTTAACCAATAATTTCATTCAATTTCGGTAATTTAAACAAATACAAATAAATATTATATTTTATAATATTTGAAGAAATTATTTGAATAATAAAATAAAGAGTAAAATGTTAATATAAAAAAATAACAATTTAAAATTTATTATAATAATTTATTATTATTAATAGTTAATGCTATAATTTTGCCTGTACTGGCAAAATACAAAATTACTGCTAAATTCCAGTATTGAATCAGTACTGAACGCCAGTACTAAGCCATTACTAATGACCAGTACTAATAAACGTTATCATCCCAAACATATGCCAGTATTGGTTCAATATTAGCGGTCAGTACTTTGCCACTACTGGCGCAACTCTGCGCTAGTTGTAAATTTTTGCTTGGGTTGCAGTGTTATAAGCGTGCGTTTGTATGTGTAGTTTTTAAGTATGCGAATATATATATGTAAGTTAGGTTTAGGTTATATGCGTCATAATTTGTAAATGTATGTAAGTTTAAAGTGTGAAAAAAACATCGAACTGTTCAACATTCTGTGCCAATCAGTGTTTGAAATTACCAATAATTGTGAAAAAAAAATAAAATTATTTTTTGTTATTTATCATCAGTCTTACCATTTTTTGACAGTCATAGAAAATTTAACAAACAGTTTTCTAAATTTTAGAGAACGTTCATTAAAGGTTCATGAATTATTTCTAAATAGTATAACAAACAGAGACTTTTAACCTTTAAACGATTTTATGTCCCGTCTCAATGTGACAGACTATTCTGTTAATGATTGACGAACTTATTTTTTTTCCGTGTAAAACTTCTTACACAATGAAGAAAATTTCATTTGAACTATATACATATAACTTATATTTAAATTGAATAAAAATATATTTATCTCAAAGATAAATATACTAAAGTCCATGACGTTTATGATCGATGATTAAAAAACAAATTATTTTTTAAGACGGAAAATCATAAAATTTTGTATCTAAAAAAATGTTTTTTTTTACAATTTTTTGATGAATAAACATTGCAAGAAATATGTTTGTAATAAAAATTATTTGGTGTTAAATTTTTGAGGAATAATAAGGTAAGGTACAAGGAACATTGTTCTTTTACTCATTTTTGTATAATTTAATACAAAAATGGTAAAAATAACTCAGTAAATAGTAAACTAATGTGATATTTCCCTTTTTCATTCAGCGGCCACTTGCTCGAATTGGCGCTGATTCCTGAAGCACTGACACACTCAAGCAACGTCTGTGTATGCGCCGCTATCTTTGTTTTCATTTTCGTTTAATAATTTGACTTTTTAAACTTCTTTTTTAATAATTTAATGTAAAATTTTATGTTTTTTTTTCAGGATAACAGCGAAGTGTATTGTTCCCTTCTCTATCAACCCTAAAAATTGTAGTCTAAAATCTTTTTTCGTTTTGGAGAAAGTTTGGTTTTCGCAAAACACATTTTTCTATACTAGGTCACGTAGGAATTTCCCACATTGCCTTAATTGAAACTAAAATCTCTTCAATTGTGTCAAATAGTATATGATTTATTCAGCTCAAAGACAAAATTTGTTTGTATCAAAGAAAATTCCTATTACCTTGAACCAGGACTATCAAACAATTTTTGATTACAACTTTTGTTTTTTTACATATTTTTTAAAAAACGTTTTCGGACAGTAATTTTATGATACTAAGGAATATTTTCAAGCAAAAAAAAAAATCGATTTTTTTGGAATTCTAAACCAAAAAGTCCCCTTAATTATTTACTTGATCTAATTAAAATTTGTGTTTAAATATGTGTAATTCAAATATAATTGAAGTTATTTGAATCAAATATATGAGACATTCTACATTAAACCGTTCCACCTACAGCCCTAGAAAAATGATTTCTTTGATTCAAAGAAATCAATTTCTTTGACAAATTTTTCTTTTATTAAAAAAAATTATCTTCGTTTCAAAGAAATTTTTTATTTAATTCAAATAAATTTTTCTTTGACCTTATATCAATGTTAGAATTTCTTTGATTTAATGCACAAATTTCTTTGAATCCAAGAAATTTTCTTTACAACTAAAAAGCTTTTTTTGTTTCAAAGAAAATTTGATTTTGAATGAAAGAAAACAAGTCAAAGAAATTGGTTTCTTTAAATCAAAGAAATTTTTTCTTTGGGTTTACAAAAGACGATTCTAGTTTTAAATTTGAAATGCTTAATATCGCAAAACATACTCTCTAAATCTGAATCAGTCATATTTCACTGATTAACAGTAGAAATTTACTAATTGCCATAGCGAGAATTGAGCAACTGATAATTAGTAGAAATTTACTGATTCAATTAGTAAAATATCAATTACTGATTGAATCAGTAATATAAATATATGGCGGCGGCCGCAAAATCTACTGATTTAATAGTTAATTTTAAAGGTTATGTTATATACAAATTACTGATTTACATAAGTTATTATCTATTGCTTGCATATTTACTAATTATATTAGTAAATTTCAAAAAATAACTGAAACTTCAGTTAAAATGAAAAGTACTGATTGAATGAGTAAAATTTCTACTGATTCAGATTTAAAGAGTAACCCTCTTTTTACGAGGAAGCTTAGATTTTTACGAAGCTGAAGTACGCAACGTTTATGATAAACGATTTTTAAAGAAATAATTTTTTAAAATGAAAAATTCTATAATTCTTTGCCCAAAAAATATTTCTTGTAGTTTTCATTAATCAACAAATTATAAAAAAATATTTTTTAGGCAAAAAATTATAAAATTTTTCATTTTAAAAAATTATTTCTTTAAAAATCGTTTATCACAAACGTTGGGTATTTCAGCTTTGTGATTTTTTACACCGAAAAGAAAACATTCTGAAATTTAGAATATTTACTTGGGACTTCGCTTGGGACCTATTTTAGAATATTTCTAAAATTGGTCCCAATTATATATTCTAAATTTCAGAGTTTTTTTTTTTTTTAATTTCACACAAATTATGAAGTTGAATGAAATCTTCTTTTTTGCAACATTTTTTATTTTTGAATCATCTAAAGTGTCTGCAATAAAATTTATTGAACTAGAAACTACAAAATTTAAGCTTCGTTTTCATACAGGTTTCAAGTAAATTTAAGGGGGAAAGGGGGTGTTTTTAAATTCGAACTAGAATTTTTTTTTTTTATAAAGTTGAGAGAAATTTTAAAAAGCGAAAAAAAAACAATTCACTGAAAAAACAAAAATCTAAATTTAAGATAATATTATTGGCTTATATTTAAGAATATTTTCCATGTATTTTATTCTTAATGTTAGAAATGGGAAATATTCTTAAATATGCACCAAAACCGAGGGGGAATTTACTAGTTAAAAACGTGTACACTTGACTACTGGTATTACACCTCATATTACCCTTATTACTAAGTATTACACGTTACTACAGAGTATTACACATTATTACAGAGATATTACAGAGTTTTTTGCGTTATTACAGCACTGTAATAACGCATTATTACACGGTATTACACGTTATTACACAAGTATTACAGGAAGAGTGTACACTTGACTACCTGAGTAAATTCCCCCTCGACCAAAACGATATTCTTAAATTTAGAATTGCGTTTTTTTGGTGTTCAAACTCTCTAAATTTGAATTAGTAAAATTTTTAACTAATTTGAATAGAATTGTGAATTTTGAAAAGAGCTCAACTCTGAAAACTGTAAGAGTCATTTTCACAGTCTGTTGTTATGCGAAAATGACACTTACGTTTTTATCGAGTTGAGCCATTTACGAAATTCACGATTCAATTAGTGACTCACATTTTGCTTTTGAATTAGTTAAATTTAAATAATTCGATAGTTACAAAAAATTTTTTTTTACTATTAATTAGTTAAATTCTACTAATTCAAAAGCAAAAAGTGAGTCACTAATTCAAATTAGTTAAAATTTTTACTAATTCAAATTTGAAAAGAAGAGCATTAAATTCTCTTTCGAAATAGTGTATAACAAATTATAAATAATTTCATTCTTATAAAATAAAATTTAATTAAAAAAACGCTCTTCTTGCTATCGTCTTTTGTTTATTGGTGGAACGGTTTAATATAGAATGCGTCATATATATTTTTTAGATGCAAGTAAAAAAATATTTAATGTAAGTAAATATTTTTCAAATAATTCGAATTCGAACCAAATAATTTTGTATTTTAGTGTATAATTTATTTTCCCTATATCGTATAGGTTAGGACAAAAGTCATATATATATATATATATATAGTATAAAAATTGATACAGTCGTGCAGAACGAATGAATATTTGGAATCGATACAAGAACCACACACATATACATATATACATACACGAACCACACTTGATATTTGTCCATAGTTTTGCCAGTATTGCTTTTATTGCTAAAAAGATATCGTACAATGGCATCCTTGCGTTTAAAGTGGAATGTACCATTATTGACAACTATTTTTTTTTCGTTTCAGATTGATGGTGTTGCAGCAGCGACCGTGTCACGAAGAGGACAATGTACTGTACATGATACGCCGTGGTTGAAATTTGCCAAAGCGCAAGTCGGTGTTGATACCGTCATCCCTGTTTTCACCCTCTTCCCTCATCATCCTTTTCTTCCTCATCAGTCTCTCATTTAGTTTTTCATCCCCCGTCTCTCCCTCTTTCTCTCTCTCTCTCGTTATCACTTTATGTGCTCAGTGCGTATATTCAAGATTCCGGTTGATCCGTAGGCGGCGTGCGCTTCATCGCATGCGCTCAACGACTAAGGTACATCGGCTATCAGCAGCGTCAGTGTGACCATCACCATCCGCAAGTTACGACGGTTGCACTTGCGAGTTCGTGAGACCTCGCGTGTGCTACACAAGACTGCCTGTCAACCTGGATACGTTAAGAAATGTTGAACGATCGATCGCACGACGACCGGTCAAAATGAACATGTGCTGGACGATGATTGTCTTCTCAACTATATTTAAGGACAAGAAGAATCATCATCCAATGCAAGAAAAGTGAAATTTAGTGTTATACCATACCCCTGTGCTGTCGGGATTTATTTCCGCGGTGTTTGGGTTTGTGTGAGTGTGTGTTTTTTGTGAGCGTGCGTGAATAGTGTACGTGCATTGTGTTCAGTTATATATATATATATCTCAAAAAGAAAAAAGAAAAGGAAATTTTTTTATTATTTTATCCACACTGCGCGAGATACACGTGATTCACCGTAATGAGGAATTTGGCACTACATATCCAGCTACTATTTGCTTCCAGTTGGAGCGTTGGGCTGTTCAGCGTCGTTTTCGCTGCCTGGCAAGAAAACGTCAGGCCCAAGATGTACGTCCAACTCGGTAAGTCAATATTTGTTTTACTTAATTTTTTTGATAGTGCAGCGTTTATAGATTAACATACTAAAGATCATGTATTTAGATTACTTATGTTTTTTTTTATGCTGATAAATTTTTCCTTGTAAGAATTCCTATAGTGCGGAATAATTTTGGGGATATCTGTCCTACTGATAACTATTTTCACAAAAAAAAAAAATAGATTTTACCATATAGTTGCAGTAAGTCCTACTACTGCGGCAATCGAATTTACCATAATTATGGTTAAGCTTTTCTAGTCTTTTTTTTTTTTGGACAATAGTGCAATAGATATGTCCCTATATTACTCGGCACTATAGGAATTCTTACAAGAAAAACTTTCCGAGTGTATACACTACAAAAATGTGGCAGAGTATTTTAAGACAAATTGTTAGTCACTTTTAAGATGTTCCCAAAAAATATCTTAAAATACATGAGGCTAAAGTCCGCAACGTTTCAATTAGAATTATTTTTTCAAGTCAATTTGTCTCTAATTATGATTTGCACAAACTTTCAAGAAATTGATACGTTTATACACCGAAAAAACAATATTCTGAAATATACTACCTATTTTAGAATATTTTATACTTAAATTCATTATGTAATATTCTTAAAATTAGAACATATTCTTAGTACTTAGTATATATATTCTACATGCTAGGAATATATGGGCAAATCTACAGAACCGGCCGATTTTTACTTATCAAGATGAAAATTTTCCAAATAGCAAGCACACCTTTTATTTATGGTTTACTTTCTTTAAAATATATTCAAGAACAATTATCTTCTTGCGTGATTCATTTTATTTTAATGCCGTTTGAGTTAAAAGCCAAAAACGAAAATATTATTTTTCTTCTGGAAATTATAATTAAAAATGGCATTTCTTTGTATTTTTTATATATTATTTGAAATATGTGCAAAATATTTTGAATAATAAAATATGATAAAATACAAATAATTAATTTTTTAATTATCAAAAATAAATTATTTATATTTTATCATATTTTATTATATATTTTATTTATTAGCATTTAATTTTTTATTTCTGTAAATTAAATTGTTTACTTACTAATTTTGATATTAACTATTTTAACCAACAAACTGACATTATTGACATCGATTTTGATATAACTTTGAAAATAAAACAAATGAAAGGATAATTCATTTTTCACGATTAACTAGTTAAATTTCGATAAATTTTTTTTTATTTTTAATTTTTAGACGTTATAAATTGAAAATATAATTTGGCGTTTGCATACAAGAATTATAATAATGTCTTTATATAATCACACATGTTTTCAACTCATCATATTTTATCCTGTAGTTGTGCTACTGAAAAAAGGCTATGTTGAAAATGGTTCACGCTTAAACATAGAGTGATAATTATTGGAATATTTTCTTTAATTCTGATTGCACTCTATTCTATGATACATACATTTGTTCGTCTGTTCACAAGCAATAAGCTCCAATTTGAAAAATTCAAATCGAATAATCGCCGCAAAAGATATTTACAAAAATGTATAGACATTTCATTATTATAAAATAATGAGTAACGCTACTTTCAACGACTATCATTTCTTTTTATTTAAGAGCACATATTTTTTATTACTTTCAAAACATTCTTCAATAAGTAAACTATAATTCACCACAGTTTGGAATTGTTCGGATCTATGCCGAACAAGTTATACCTATAAGAATTAAAATTTATACCTGGAGTAACACCGTATATTTTATTTTTTAAGTTACTTAATTCGATTTTATTTTTTATAAAAGACTAGAAGGTTCACATTTATTCAATTTTCTTATTTCAATAGGTTCTCAGAGATATTACAAAATGGTTGAAGTATGAAAATAATTAATATAATACTTCTAAAATAGAAAAATATGTGAGTAACATGAAATCGGCCGGTTCTGTGGATTTGCCCATATATACTAAATACTAAAAATATACACTAAGTACCTCTATTTTTTAAAATATTACATACTGAATTTAAGTATAAAATATTCTAAAATAGATTTCAAATTTATATTCTAAATTTCAGAATATTTTGTTTTTCGGTGTAGAAGTCAGTTATCCCCGAATAACTGCGATTTTAAGCCGAAGTAATACATATCGTCTCATTGTTTTTTCGTTTTCGTTTAATAAAAACGTTGCGAACTTTAGCATCATTAAAGTGCATTAATTCTTAAGATGTAAGATCGTTACAAAAGATATTTTAAACATTTTAAAAGTCCAAAAGATACTTCTTAGCACTGGAAAAAAAGTAGCGTTGATTCAAGAAAACCATGCCCAATTATTTTTCTAATTTGAGAAAATTTACTTCAAACCAATACAATTTTCTTCGATCAAGAAAATATTGCACCAAATACCGACCAGTAGATGGGTTTTCTTGATTCATTACTAATTTTTTTTTTCCAGCTGTGATTAGAGTATATTAATTAGCTGACTAATCTATTTAGAGACAGTAATTTACCAATTAAAAAGAATTTTTAGAGACAGATCTTTGTGTTTTGACTATACTCAAATATATACATTCATAACTCGACAGTCAATAAACCGGCTTTACTCCAGTAGAGGTTTTTTTCGTAGTTTTCTTCTACTTTATGATGAGAAAAGATCAGAAAAATGCGAGTACTTCTAATAAAGTCGGCCTATACGGACTATATACAAAAATGAGAGGAAAAAGTAGAAGTAGGCAGACTAGTAGATGCGGAGAGTATAAAACCGTATGCTAGGATATAAAAAGAAACTGAATGATGATAAAATAGACAAATATTCTTGATACAAATGAGATGTATATCAAAAGATTGCCGAAAATCTAAAATCCATATTAGCCAAACTTCTCAAGAGTAGTCTTAATTCCTTATATAACTGACTATCACTAACTCCTCTCTGACTTTGCCTAGAGAGGTTGGAAATTCAAAGCCATCGAAACGTTGCTATAACTATATATATTAAACATAAATTTATTTCCTTCATTAAATTTTCATCTCCTACATAATACAAGCACACTGAAGAAAAGTAGCATTGATTCAAGAGAACCATATGCACTTGTATTTGTAAATTTTCTTAATTCAAGAAAACTTACAAATACGGACAAGTGCATGATTCTCTTGAATCAATGCTACTTTTCTTCAGTGTGCTTATATTATGTAGGAGATGAAATTTTAACGAAGGAAATAAATTGATGTTTAATATCTATATAGTTATAGCAATATTTCGATGGCTTGAGTTTCCAATCTAAATTCAGTATGTAATATTCTTAAAATTAGAATATTACATACTGAATTTATGTATAAAATATTCTAAAATATGTCCTAAGCAAAGTCCCAAGTATATATTTTTAATTTCAGAATATTTGTTTTGGTGTACTATTTTTCCAGTGTATAGTTAAAATTACTTTAGGTACTATACAAACATTTAGTTTAGTTTACAGATACATTGAATTTTATTGTTAAAATTTTCAAATTATCTAGTGACTTTACAAAGGAATCTAAATATATAGTGATGATGAATTAGATATGTATAGATGTGTATAAAATTGGAATAAAAGTAGAATTTAGATATTCGATAAAATTCGACAGAAAAAATGATTATCCTGCGCATCCTCGTGACACTTCTTTCAACTTTGAACAGAATATAACTGGGACAATTGTTTATTGGTGCCCTATAAGATATGGCGCTGATTACTTTTTGATTACTACTGTGCCCAAAAGCAACTAATCTTTCTGTCATAAAAATATATATCATTTTTTATAACCAATCTAAAATTTGATCCATATTTTTTTTAACGAAAAAGATTTTAGTTTAGATTAACTTTTTTTGTTGAATATAATTTTTCAAAACTAAGGTTCTTTTTTTCTTTTATTTTTATTAGCATAATAATGACTCGGGATTTCAGTCGAACAATATTCTAAAATTTAGAATATATACTTGGGACCTATTTTAGAATATTTTATACTACAATTCAGTATGTAATATTTTTAAAATTAGAATATATTCTTAGTACTTAATATGAAGGGTAGAATGACAAAAGGGGTCAAGCGCCAATTCACTGTTTTTACAGGAAGTAAAAAAAACATTTTTAAAAATTTTGCAGGTCATTTAAAAAAAAACTGAGAAAACCGTTTCGATATATTAATATGTTTTAATAAATAAACAACAATTTGTTGAAATAAACCTACATATTAACGATAAAATTAAAAAAAACTGTGGTTCCTTGAGGTTATATCAACTGCGCACATTTTCTTTAAACATTAATTATAAAAAATATATACAGTTTAAAGAAAAACTGGAAAATTAGTTTCTTTCTATGGAATCGACGAAAAGAATAGAAAAAAAAATTCCTTTAAAAAATTGTTTGTTTTCAAGAAAATTAAGAATTAATTGCTTGCTTTGGAATTGAGCAATACTTTCATCTTTAAATTCAATTGTTCACTTAGTATAACCATAAAAATATTTAAAAATTAATAACAAAATGATTTTAAAATTGTTTAAAATTGAAAATACATTATTATTATTATTAATTTTATTAATTAAAATATTATTAAAATAAAATTAAAATAAAATATTAAAATAAAACCTAAAAAAATAATATTTTTTTTTTATTTTGATAATATTATTGACTCATCACTTTCTTTTGTTTTTCAATCAGGTTGCAATAAAGTAAATTTGAGGCTATTTTATTAATTTAATTTTTATGAAAAACTGATTTAAATACGCAATAAAAAAGGAAATCCTTCTACAGAAATGTGTAAATGAATTTTCTTGATTTTTTTATGCAAAAACCTCATTTTCGATAAATTGGCGCTTGACCCCTTTTGTCATTCTACCCTTCATATATATTCTAAATGCTAAGAATATTACATATACTGAATTTAAGTATAAAATATTCTAAAATAGGTCCCAAGTATATATTCTAAATTTCAGAATATTTTTTTTCGATGTAAATAAAATGTTAAATAGGGTTTGAATTTTAAGAAAAAGT